GTCGGATCAAGTTCATAATATTATTAAAATTTGCAACAACATCAATGTTCTTCAGATATAACCAACAGACAAAATAAAGACAAAGAAAAATCGAAATATACATTCGGCACCGGTAAAGGTTTGTCGATGAATGCTAAACACTTGACTGAGTCAAACTATCACTGCCCGATAAATTCCCAAAATGGTTATCCATTTTAAAGCAACCAAAAGTCAAAAATATATTTCTGAATTTAATTTCATTCATCACTTTCTCACACTAGCTCTTCCTTTTGGTTATGAACGAGTGAAGTGTACAGCAAAGCAAGTCAAAGCGGTCATATACTAAGATCATTTGCGCAGTTTATTAGCCATCTTCGAACAAATTAAAGTAAATGTTCTCAAGAGCATCATTATCAGTCGGCTGAAAATGGAAAAGAATTTTGATCAAAGACTTCTTGTTAATGCTGTGTCTTGTTCATACATGCGCATACGCATGACAAAGCTTTGAAACCGACTCCGAAAACCCGCCTCGTTGGCAATTATACTTGATGTTATTAGTCCAGTGCTAATGCTAGCGGCGTCTAAGGAATTACGACAAAAGGAATTATTGCCTATTAATTCAGAATATGGATGAGTGAAGCTTTTCCTAATTAGACATGCATGTTTACTCCAGGTAAACTTCATTGTGGGTTGATTACAAGATTTTTGCATATCGCCACAGCTGCTGTTGTTTTTATTACATATATAAAATCCATTTTTTACTGCCAATGTACTTTCAAGTATTTGTCAACTAAATTATACTTCCAAGTTTTTGTTTTGTTTTGTTTTTACAACTTTGTTGAACAATGTTGAAGCGGCAAGAATGCGAACGGGACTCTAAGACTCCTGTGAGGCACTCTCCCGTTTCAGTTATTAAATTCAAACTAGAAAATACATGCATGCAGCAACTCCTCTCGCCATGCTGACAAAACCATTGTATTTTCCGAACATGAAGTATTTAAAGTAGTTGTCATAGTAACACAATAATTTTGTTAAGAATACTGACTTTTACAAATGAAAAATCCCTTAAAAATATTATCACTTTTAATTACAAAATTATCAATTCCCCAAACATATATATGTTAGGTATGTTATTATACGTAATATAAGCTTCAATTTAAGGTAAAATTCAACCTCAAACGCTTCGCAAGACGTTTTAAAATGTTCTTTATAAAACTAAACTGCCTTTATCGTAAAACTTTGAGTTTGAAATAAAAGTATTGAGTTTGAAATAAAGTTAATCCAAATTATCGCATTCAAACAACTTTGCTTTCTTTTTTATTTAAACATTTTAATACAATAAAAAAGGTTAATCAATAAAGAAACATTGAAATTATATGCTGTCTTTTTCATTTAAATATACGCAATGATCAGCTTTTAAAGTAGTCCAGTCCCAGACCCTCTTCTGGCCGCACGGCGCGGCGGAGAGGGAAGGTACAGAAGAATTTGCATGCGCATGCGTCAACTACCACCACGTATATGTGGATGTCGCCAGGTCGCTAAGCTCTGTTTACTTTAAAGTGCATATGACATGAATTTTTTTATTTTCTTAAATGAAAGAACTCTTTAAGCTGTAGTGTAACTTATTTTTCAGTTTCTTGTTTTTATGGTTTGTTCCCAAGATATTTCAATTTGTTTGGTATGTAAATGATGTGAATATGTCCGCTAATTTATGACGTCACGTTGGTTGCAAGCTCTTCAAAATGGTTCAATATCACGGCTACCATCCAAGATAATAATTTCTAACTTCACTCACTGGTAAATGTGATAAAATACTGGAGAAAAACGTGGACTGATATCTACAGTTTTTAGAGTTAATAGATTTATAACCGGTGTAAGTTGAGCTTGCAACCAACGTGACGTCATAAATTAGCGGACATATTCACACTCATTTACATACCAAACAAATTGAAATATCTCGGGAACAAATCATGAAAAGAAGAAACTGAAAAATAAGTTACACTACAGCTTAAAGAGTTCTTTCATTTAAGAAAATAAAAAAATTCATGTCATATGCACTATAAGGGAAAATCCGCAATGTTGAAGCAAAATTCGGACACTCGTGTAGTGTCTACTGCGATCTTTTTGGCAGAAAATTCGTTGATGTCGTTAAGTTTGCCACGGAAATGTGTAAATATAATTTTGTGCCAAAGTTTGAGCAATTGCAAGTGATCTATTACGTGTCCCGCGGTAAAGATGTATTTCGTCATTGCTTTACACGCTCCATTATGTTTGCAATGCTTTGTGATCATCACCTGACAACGACGCCGGTCATCTGGTCATCAATTGCAATTTCGGCAGCAACGGCGAGACAGTCCAGTTCAGGCTCATCTCGTCTGATGGACAAACTGTATGTCTTAATTAAAAAAGAGAATCGCTTTGGTGTATAATCACCTTCTGCACTGAACAGTAGGGCCTACATTTCTCCTAGCGGGCGGACAGAGTCCCTTGTATATTCGACATCGAACTTCGGTTGACATTTTATATTTCTTTGAGTTGTTTACGTTTATGCGCGCGTTCAACAGGTGTAAGGGTTTTCCCTTTTCCGAAAGTCAATCGCGAGCGTTTTGATTGGACAAATTGACGCATGCGCATGCAAATTTTTCTGGACCCTCCTTCTCCGCCGCGTTGTGTGGCCAGAACAGGGTCTGGGACTGGACTACTTTTAAAGCAATTATAAGGCGAACGACACATCAATATTTAAACAAACCTACCTTCGATAACGTCGGCGCCTTTACTCCCCACTTCTTTTAGGAATTCTTTCGCCTTTATTTTCTTGAAAAGCTTTTAAAATTCACAAAATCTTGCAAAAATGAAATATATTTGCAAGAAATCATCAAATCCAGAAATGTTTGCTGTCTCGCTGTCGTCATGCAGTCGTTATAATGCAAACTTTAAATTTGACCAATCAGCGTTCGCTATTCATGATATCGATAGTCCGCCATATTTTTGAGATCAGTGAAGATGACCACCAACTGCAACATCGTTGGCGACCCACGCCCGCGATCATTGATAAACTTCAGACTCCACTAATGCGTTCGTTTTCCCAGGTGTAAATAGCCGGGCGGAATTAGTACCTTCGCCCCGAGTTTGCGCCTGGAATGTCCGCGCCGTTGGCTCGGGGATTAAAAGATAACAATACACAAGTACATACATGATACTCAATTTAATATGTAAACATATACCAACTGCTTAACCCAATATATGCAATCACTTACAACCATGTATCTACATATAGATAAAAAACGATTACAATATAATTATATATCTAAATCATCTTATGCTAAGGCAATACTTCAACAGTATAACGGGTTTTAGGACCATTTCAAGTTTACAACAATAGTATTCTATCTAAATAACAGTTAAAATAAAGTGTACGGCACCTAAACTGTTCAATCCATAAAACATTTACATATTAGGTAAATACTGTATATTTTCAAAATCCGCCACATTTATTTACATTAGAACCCAAGCTTTTGCGGTTCACACGAAATATTACGTCAGTGATTTATGGGTGATTTTCACTAATAATAAGAGGGTAAGATTATCCAATTATGTTATCGTTGGAAGCGAGAGGAAACCATGCTTTCATATATGGCACAAACGTGTTCCCAACTTCCTTATATGGCACAAACGTGTCCGCAAAATATTTTTTCGAGGCCGTTATAATGTCATAAGATTCCTCGCGCTCGGAACGATTTGTACAGATCACGTAGTACAGAACCCAGACAGCTGATGATCAACCTCGTTCCCAGGGCTTCAGTGTGAGGACGAGGCGAGACACGAGGAAGCCCTGGTCCGAGCCGGTCAATTTTGCATTCTGATTGGCTAACACCATATTGTCTAAAAATAACTGAACTTGACAGTCGACAATAACAATTCAACATTTGTATTTTTATGATTCTTATGTGTACGAGTATGTTTTGCAAAATAATCTTTCAAAATGAGACGTTTTCCCGACTGCATGATTTACTTTCGCCTCGGCCGGTTACAAAACTCAAAAGCCGTGTCGACGTGAGCTAAGACGTGAGCCTGACAAAACAAGAAACGTCTACTATTATTTGAGCCGTAGTTTTCCCTGTACAGTATTTATAATGGCAATTGATAAAACTAGAATAGTGAAGCGAATAGTGCGAATAGTGCGAATAGTCGACGAATAGTACGAATAGTCGACGAATAGTCGACGAATAGTCGACGAATAGTACGAACAGTCGACGAATAGTGCAATAGAGACTTTGCAAGGCTTTCCACCGTGCTGTAGAACTAAATTTACCGAAGCGGGGCGGGGTGGGGGCTCTATTGACAAACATGAAATCGTGAAAACATTCGTTGATGTCAATGACGTCATACGTAATCGGTAAAAATTACGGGACCACTGAGTTTTAACAAATATTTAACAGGAAGTAGAATGACAATCACTAGAATGACGTTTTCCACTGGGCGAAATTGTTCGCGCGAAGCGACAAGTAAAAGAGTAGGAACTGATCCAACTTTTTCGCGGCGAATTTTTTCGCTGACCAATCACATTGCCGAAATTTGGTTTTCGCTTCGCGCGAACACATTCGCCCAAAAACGGGCTTAAATAATAAATCGATATACCTTCTCTTGTTTCGTGATGTAAATCACGTTTTCCTGAAGCACACGAAATCACTTAAGCCCTTAAATCTTCAGTTACAACGTCACAACTTACAAGTAAAATTCCTATAACATTCCATCAGTAAAATTCATGCCTCATATGGTTACCACTTACCATTAAAATTAAAAAAATATGAAATATGTTTCCTGACGATGACTGGATTTTAGTCGAAAGCTAGAATATTAAAATGTTTATTTTCGAAGTTACCGTTGTTTTATATTTTATTAAAATACTCAGTGGTTCCCGTAATTTTTACTGGTTACGTATGACGTCATTGACGTACGTCAACGAATGTTTTCACGATTTCATGTTTGTCAATAGAGACCCCCCCCCGGTAAATTTAGTTCTACAGCACTGCTGCAAAGCCTTGCAAAGTCTCTTTTGCACTATTCGTCGACTATTCGTACTATTCGTCGACTATTCGCGACTATTCGTACTATTCGTCGACTATTCGCGGACTATTCGTACTATTCGTCGACTGTTCGCGGACTATTCGTACTATTCGTCGACTATTCGCACTATTCGCTTCACTATTCTAGTTTTATCAATTGCCTATTTATAATGTAGTGCAAATGTCTGATGAAATACTACCCGTATTGCATTGTAGTAATATTTTAATTTACAATATTCTGTACTGACAAATAAAAGCAAGACAAACAATTAAATGAAACTACCAAATTAATTTAGGCCCTGTTTACTTAATAGCTCTACGCCTTGGCCGATGTAGTCCCCACAAGATTTGTCACGCCACCGAGTTTCACAGTTCCAGAATACCCCCGAATACTTGAAAATTGCGACTATACGATAAAATAAAACAAAGATTGTGAAGGGGATAAAATTTGTAGGCAAGCATTGCTCCTGAACGGCAAGTGTTGGTGTCCGGCGAAACAAGCGAATCCGTATAATCCTGTACAGCGTAAACAGGTTACGCGAGGTTTTATATTTGTGTTTATTTATATTGAACTAAGTCAGATCTATAAGAGCATGTTTAAACTAAATATTAATTATAGCAATAGCCATATTGTTGAAGACGAGAGGAAGGAAATTTCGTGTGAATCACCACTTGCATGGAGACGCCTAGATGCAGCTTGGATGCAGCTTTGCCTGTAGTTGAAAATCTCCAGAAATATTGGTATATCTTAGAAAACATAGTCGGGATCTTCATAGATTTTAGCTGATTCGTGCCAAACGTCGCTCTACACATAAATAATATCGATTGAGAAGTCTTTTGGCTATTTATTTGTTTCGAAGAATATCTCGCCACTCCTTGACGAGTAGCTGTCAAATACTGCCATTTTTTGACGTCACGTGACCGGCCCGGTCCAGGGCTTCCTCGTGTCTCGCCTCGTCCTCACACTGAAGCCCTGGGAACAAGGTTGAGCTGATCATCTGTATTGAAAATGCACCATAAAACAATGATGGGTGGTAAACCTTGGATAAAAATTTTTAAACAAGGTGAGACTGAAGAAGATCTCTACTGTAGCTATCTTAATAACATAATTACGGAGGGAAAGAATTCTGTTGAAGAAGGATTTAAAAAATATACACATGCCATAGCAAACCAATTGTGTTCATTTTTCTGTGAATATCCTTGCATTATTCACCTTCACTTCGGTGAATAATTGTTAAATATTTCGAAACTTTTTCCAGTTTTAGTTCAACTCCAAATTTACTGAAAAATGTCCGTGGAAAACATGTTCTTACTCGTTGTTCTTATTACCCCTAAAGCTTACCATAACAGCCTGTTTCATCTAGAATTATCAGGTGGAAAGAAATTGTATTTCTCGTCAACGACATATCAATGATTTTATACTTTACGTACCAGGGGTTATTCCGGCTAAGCTAGATTTGCTAGGTCGTTTTGGAGTTGGAAAAAAAGATCTGGAGTTGTAAATGAAAAACACTGGAGTTGTCACTGATACCACATTGATATTTTAATCTTCAACTCAACAAACAAAAATATATTACATTCCAGCAGTCACATTCATGAACGTATAAAGTAATGTACTCTAGTTTAAAAGTGTAAATTAGGGTATTAAGTGTTTTTCAGTGTAAATTAAAGTTATAAGTGTTTTTTATCGATAAGCTAAGCTTTGTTCAAAACAATTTGGCCTTCTTATTTTGTTGTACATGTTAATCTACTATGTCTCTCGTGTGTTTTTTTCTCCTCAGTTGCTTCTTTAAACACACCTTTGAACCATCGTTGATAACGTGCTTTGTCAGTTTCCAGTTCTGCGTTGCCTTTGTTGCAGCCATCTCACAACACACATTCTTGGATCCCATTCTTCAAGAGTTGGCATATTGAAGTGAACGTATAGATAAAGATTTTGTGTTTCGACATCAATAGAATTCCTCAGAGATTTTTTTACAAGGTTGCATGCACTGATTAACCTTTCAACATCGCATGAGTGAGGTTTTGCTGCCCAAGGGCTATGACAATATTGGGGGTAAATGTTTCGTTAATTTCTTGCCAAATATTGCACCATCTGAGATAAACGTAGGTTTTGGAGAGTACGTAGCAGCTCTGGTGATGTTACAATGCTGTTAAATTCGAGAGAAAGTTCCATTAACTGTAAATCTGAACATAATTATTTCATGGAATTCCTTGATAGCAGCATCAGGCTTTAAAGCATGCAATAAAGGGTTTGACCACTTTCAATATACTTTAATCAACACCAAATCTCTGATCTAGAAATTCCACTAGGCAATAAACAATTTCTTTCTTCACCACTGTTAGATCTCTTAAGGCTGGCGCAAAAAAGTGATGAACTCGCCTTTCTCGTGGAATACTAAGAGCAATGTCTTTCAAGAAAGGTCTATCTTCACTTAACCCAGAGATCAGTGCCTCCTCCTAACCACCAATAAGCCTTGTATTTAACAGGGATTGCAGTTGCGTTTTTACAGACTCTGTATAAGTTTCCAAATCAAGTAGCGTAGCTAAGACTAATGTCCCGGATAGTTTTTTATATCTCTTCAACACAGCTAGGACATCAGCAACAAAAGCTGTGAGTTGAGGCTTGAATTTATCCTTCATCAGCGTTAGAAAGCCACGCGCTTCTGACTCTTGCACATTTTTGTCAAAGTACAAGATTGTGGCATTCCAAGATGCTAGGTGAAAGTCTGCAAGCTCATGTAAGAATTCAGTAAATCGAATTTGAAAATACTCTGGGTATCGTCTGACAGTTAGTTTATATTAATTCCCAATTGCTTGCCTTTCTCTGGTTCTCACTCCTAATGTGTGAAAATAAGTTGATAAGGATTTCAGCTGTTGAATGAGAATTCTTAGTTTGTCAACATTTTCAGTTACATTTTCCCATGCTAATTGACTGCGATGAACAGCACACCAAATTTTCAACAAGGGCAACAGCTGGACGCATCTCGTTCCTCAATTTTTCCAGCAAATAAATGTGTAACTAGTGAATAAGCAACAATAAGATGAAGACCACACCAAATTAAAAAAATATAGTTATGCTACTTATTCTCAGGGATAAATGCAGGTCAATACAGTAGGTCTCATCCTAAAGCCTTAATACCTTTAAGAATAACCCCTGTTACGTACACAGAACTGGGGCAGTTTATACGGTTGTACCAGGTTATATTTTTTCAATATGGATCCCACAAGTATAATAAAAGGAAACTTTAATTTTTATATACCTATACTTTTGATCCGGGTTTTACCAGAAACGGTTTTTTTAGGAAAGTTGGCTTGAAAAAAAATTTTTTACTTGATCTTTGCCTTGCTTCCGTAACATGCCATTCGTCCAAAAGTACATTACAGGGTTTAATGTCGATTTTAACATAGCGAGAAGAACGAACCAGGTTTTAATCGCAACTGCTTTGAAACTTGACTTCACGTCTAAATGACCAAACGAAAGCGCTACTGGAACGAAAGTAACAAGGCAACACATTACGATTAGAAAAGAGGAGTTAGCCGCTTTCATTTCTTTGAGAAATCGTCCTTTGCTCAAGCTGCATTTCTCTGATGCATTTTTAGACCCATCGCTTCGTTCCGCCGCTATCATCGCCGCTCGCATCCGATTCGTGTCGCGAATTTTCAAGAAAATTTTTACATACACGAAAACTGTCGTTAAAATGAAGAGTATAGAAGTTGTGGACAGTATTGGAGCTGTTATTTCTTTATGGGTTAAGCTGAAACCGTAAATGATGGTTTGTACGCTACAAATAGAGACTACGTATGCCAGCAGTTTGGTGTTTGTAACCACGCCTCGATGATAGAATGGGTGCACTGTGCCTAAATATCTATCAAGATTCATAACAGACAGCGTTGTTAGTGTGTAGAAGAACATGAGCATTCCGAATTTTTTGAGAAAGATTGCGACAGCACAACTTGTTCCGCCTACAGCCTCGTTTGCAAAGCGAAAACTCACCAAAGGCATGAAGAACACTCCATTTGCCAGATCTACGATAGATTGTAGTAATATAGTGAAATTGGATGTCTTTTCCTTCAGGATTCTCGAACGCCATATTGTGATAGCTGTAACGCCGTTCAGGAAAACTGTTGCAAATGTTATCATAATTGCAAAAATCACAGCGAAAGTATGAATAACCATGCTCCCCCTTGTAGGGAATCCGGTGATTTCCTGAGCTTGGTCCTTCCCGATGTAGCATGTTTTGAAAAACTTCGCATTACTACTTGTTAAATTTGTTGTGTTCATTTTTCAATCATTCGCAAAGCCTGATCAACTGTTATAACCCAGCTAAAATAAAAACTCAAATTATATAGCATTCAATGAATGAATCGTTTTCTTTTAAGTGCATGATGCTTTAAATTATTCATCATGCACCTTAAAGTGCAGCAGATGATATTCTTAACGAGGGAACAGGATTTCCTCTTTGGTCTTGACAATTTTGATATGCGTTAATGCCTATAGCCTATGAATAACGTTTCAAAGTTCAATGTAAACAATTGACCCAAATTTTAGTTCATTAAGCCCATTCTCCGCTAGGCGAATTTGTTCGAGCTGTTGTAGACTTCCCTTTATCGGCATCCGTTATTTACACGTCAGCAAAAGCGATGCCGAAAAAGGAGAAAGTGTATAAATATTAAGGTGATGCTAATGGACGGTGCATAATAATGCCAGGTTGCATGTGAATTTGAGGCTCAAATTTTCCCTGGGCCTAGGCTTAGCAATGACTACATGTCGATCGCCACAATCAATTACACGTTCAACACGTTCATTGACGCCTGGATTGAAAATTAGCACTTACTTAGTATATACCCGAAGAATTTGTTTTTGTTTGTCGTTGTTTGCGCTACACTTTAGCACTCTTTACCAGTTTTATTTTGTACCGTAAACTCGGTAAATACTATGAAATCATCTTTGAAAACATTCCCGTTTTTATTAAGAATATTCTTAACATTAATGATTATTAATCAGTCGACACATTACTTTTAATTTGTTGTGGATCTACAAGCAAAATTGGATTATTTTCATCAGGGCCGTTGGGAAGAGGCTATTAGGGAGTTTAAGCTTCACGTTTCCGGGAACGGCAAACGGCAGGTTCGAAATTTCTTGGCAAAATTTTCGTTGAACGTTTTCATTTCATATTTTATTTCTTGCGTCGAAAAAATAATTATGTATTTTAGTTTTAAAATAGCAAGTTTATTTACTCTTTATTGCCTGACACCGTAAAATTTTTCTTCGTCTGGCGTTTGCCGTTTGACGTATAACGCGAACCTTAAACTCTCTATATAATGTTTGGGCGGGGGTATAGTATCGCATTTTTAGACAACATTTCAGTCGCTAATTAATCTTTCTTCTCCAAAAATGTTTGGTGTGGTGGGGGGAGGGGGGGGGACATAACATTTTTCACTAATGTACCGTCATTTGTTAAATTTTTCGGTAATAATTTCGTAAATTTATCAAATTTGTAATCAGAACCACTCGAATATTTTCGCTGACTACAAAAACAAGTTGCCGATAAATCCTTTATTTTGCTGACAAGATGTTTTTCAGGAGGAATGTCACATCCCACACACCCCCTATAGCGACGGCCCTTATTTTCTTAATGAACGAAAACATTTTGGAGCGTGTACAATATTCAATGTTTCGTGTTGAAACAAATTCATTTGGAATCAATTATATACATGCACATATAATTTGCATGCGTGATCAATGCTTTTCAGTACTGCCGACGCGAACAATTATTTTAATTTCATATGATTTCTGTGTTTTTTTCTCTTAAAATAGACAGAAATTGAAAAGAGAGACTATAACCGATTCCAAAAAAAAAATTAGGAAAAAAAATTAGGATAAAATGAAATTATGAATGTATGATGCTACGTATATATAGTTGGTGATTCTGCATGGGACTGATATCATCCTTTTTCAGAGCCAACGCTATACGTGGATATATGATGCTTTTAAAAACAGTGTAAATATCAAGATTTTGTTGGCATCTCACTTGCTTGATTGAATATAAGTTGAAGGGTATATTGTAGATTGAAATTAAAATGCAACTTTTGGTCCATGCATGGCAGGATCGGAATCGAACCTGCGGTCCCGGCTGTGATTCCGGTACATGTGTACATGGCTAGAAATTTCATGGGCGGCATGGTATTGCAGGCTCATTTGCAGGAATTTTCAAGATGGCGGTTCGCTTTTATAATGAACTAAATAATTTAAATACCGCTGCCGGTTTTTAGACAAAATCAACCAAGAAGGCCGGAAAATATTATGAAATGCACGCGGAAAGAGTGATTGCTTCAGAAAAAGAAAAGTCAACTGTAATATATATTAATTTCGCTTGCTTTTTCCAATATTCAAAATCGCGATATATGTATATATTTAAAACTATGTCAATCGCTTCGATATTTTAAGCAAATATTTAATAACATACAAGTTAGATTCTCAATGAATTAACAAGGGGATTGTTCAATATGTCCACCACTAACTAATTTGTGATTTCCAACAACACATTTCGCAACAATCCAGTATGAACAATCTAATTTGAATTTTTCCCGCTACTCTGAGCGAATATTTTTGTAGCTACAGTCTCTCAGGTCAGCAGTAAAGGCCATGGTAACATAGCAACAGCTTTCGAGAGCTTTCGAACAACAACAATGGCGGAAAGGTCATGAAACGAATACGAAAATGGCAACTATATTTTGAAATTTTGCCTATCATGGCCTCTAAAATAGCAGTCTTATGATCCTCAAAAACAACGTATTTCAAGACATTATGGAACCCACTAAACGGGATTAAAATAGCTTAAAATCTAGCGTGAATAAAAGTATCGTTATTCGGGAGTATATGCTGATGTTCGCATGGTTGAAAAATCTTGCAAGTATGGCCATAATTTCAGCTCCAGAATACAAAATATGGTCAATTAGTATACTGGTGCAAGGGGATGCTCGTCACGAAATCACGAAGATCATTTTTCGATTTCACGAGTCACGAAAACCAAAATTTCATTTTCACGATTTTTAGAAACACAGAAGCGTAACAAAGTCTGAAACCATTTAACACATACTGACTTTAACATTAGAGCAGTTTAAAGGAGAATGGAAATCATTACGAGGCATTACGAGCATCGTAGATGGTTCACGAAGTTCACGAAGAGGTACGAAGGTATACGATAACGACGTTTACCGATGAAACGAAGAAACCTCAAGAACTAAGACAACTGCGGGAAGCAAATTTATAAATTTTCCCCCAAAATATTACATTTGGGCCTAGTTTTAAACGTAAACATTCACAAGTTAGGGTAAAATATTTGTAAATTCAAGACCATAGCTAGCCTTTTAGCTCTTCACGATTCACGGCACGCATATTAATCACGATTCACGGAATGGTATTTCTTTAAATCACGAAACACGAATAATTGCTAATCACGAGTCACGAAAATACCCTTGCCCCC